TGTTGAACTTCCTCCACCGACAACACTTATTCATAAAGTAATGCTTCAAATTTTAAATTTCTCTGCTAATTTTTTTGCTTTGTTAAATTGCTTTTCCTTTTTTTCTGTTGTACCTTCAACTTTCTCAAAAGGTCTACTTGAAAAAGTTTTCTACCTTTAAGTGGACCTGCAAATTTCTCACACACATCACTTCAACAGTTAATCAAGGTTTGACTCTAAAAACGTTTTAAATGGACATCAAGCAGCATGTAAAATGAAAGGGGTAAGTACAAAAAAAAACAAATATTCGATAGAAAATGAATGGGCAACGTGGTAAAGCTTGAGCTAAGTAATTTTATTATGAACAGCTTTAAAGTTTGGCAGGACTTCTTGCAGGACGTAAATAAGAAATAGGACTTTTCCTTGTACCGCGATTTACAAACGGAAAAGTTTCGAACGGAAAAAGCAATTTCCTGACTTGTGCTTGAAAAGTGGGATTACTTTTTAATTTTTTCCGGAGATTTTAAACTGCAAACTTTTATCGGTCGGGTTTCTGATGCACTTTGACGCTCTTTCAAACCACACGTAAATATAGTAGGACGGGCGATTGTGAATTGATTACGTTTCGTCGATAAAACCAATAAATTTGCTATCTAGGCCAAAAGGTTCTACAAACGAGGTGTTTTAAAACATTAGAAATGGATGTATTTTTTTAATTTTCCCAAAGAAGAGAGCTTTTAATCATTTTCGGTAAAAGCGTAAGAAACAACATGGTCAAAGTTTTGTCTAATTTACCCTTCGCCTATATGCACTGTCGGGGATCTTTAATTATTTAATTAATTAATACACTAGAAGTTCGCGGCATTCTCAACCCTTACATGACTCGAACGAGATTGAGCGAAACCTGAATATACGCAAATTGAAAATTCGCGTAATTCCTGCAAAGGGTTTCAGGAGGAATGCTTAGAAATTTAAGGAAAATTTGGATGGATTATTCCAAAGTTGGCGTCATTCTTCTAGAGGGGTTGGCTAGGGAAGGAATGGTTAGTACAACAAATAGTATATAAAGTATATAGTAAATCACAATAAATCTAACAATAACTCAGATATCTGCAAAAAAAATTTAGAAATTTTGCTTCAAAGTATTTAATTGCCACTACAAATGACGGTTTACTCATTAATGGAACATGGTCAACAACTGAGACTTTAAGGCAAAAGTAGAAAAAAGGGATTCTGCTGATGGAACTATAAAATAGTTACAAAATTTCGTTTCTAAAAAGATTAGAAAAAAATAAAAATATAAATACTTAATATACAGGGTGATCCGAAATTGGCGGCATTTCTTTAAACGGGTGATAGGGGCTCATTTGGAGAGTATGAGAAAATATTGAATTTTTTTTTCCATAATTTCTAGAAGACATTAACAGTTGAAAATCGAATTTCAACTTTGTTATTAAGCATTGTTTTGAAATTGCCCCATGTTTAATTGGTAGCATGTTAGAATACCTAAGCATTCAAAAAGAAAAATTACGATCTTTTCTTCAAATATAGAAACAAAACTCAAAGCGGCAATGATGTTTTTTGTTATTAGCAGATAGTTACAGGTAGATAGCCGTTGACAATTATAACAACAATTTATGAAACTATGAATTACTTTGGATTGGCGGATCCATGGATGGATCCGCTGGATGGAGATTGGCTCTAGGAAAATAGTGGACAACAATAGATGAATGAAGAAGATGAATAGATTATTGGGTTCCAGACCCAGAGCAACAAGTGTTGGACATAATTGCAGAAGAGCCCTGCACAACAACACTTTCCCAGGTACCAAATAAATACCGAGAAAGGGCTACATTCCTACCACGTAGCAAGATACGCACACCACAAGGACACATTAAACCAATGGCTGACTGAACACCGGTATAAATTGAGCAGGAGTTAATTAACCGAATACGAGAAGCCGCCACACGTGGCCTAACAGTCAACGCCTCCAGAGAAATGACGCAAATTTTGAATTATCCTATACAGGATGTTTGGTAAGTAGATGCATTCCTTGCAGGGGGTGATAGTGCAATTAGTTTTGGATATATTTCGTTAATAGACCAGGTTCCAAAAACCATTAGTTTCCGATCTACAGGGTGTTAAAGTTTTAATACAAAAATGTTATTTATTTATATTTCGAAAACCGCATGGACTATGATAATGAAATTTGACAGGCTTAGACAACTAAGAACGATAAACGTTTTTCGATAAACATGTTGTTTCCATCTTTTCCAGTGGCATCTTTTCTACAGGCACGTCTGTGGATAATTTTAAATAAAAAAATGTTACGCCACTGATTTTTCTAAAAGTAAATAATATTGTTCAAGTTCCTGTTCAATTTGGAAGAGAAAAGGTCTGTTGACTTTTTTTCTACGACGTCCCGTTTCCTAGTAAACAAATTAAAATCGATTTATTGCACAGCGTAATCGCGTTTTTATTAAAAAGTTGGCTCAGCACTAGTTTTTGTCACTAATTGACAAAAGTAATAATTGCTATCACCTTCTCTTTGCGATTGATGTAATCTCGAGTAAGTTCACATAAGTTGAAAACTTTATTGGTTGAAATGGCTAAGTTTTCCAATGCTGAATACGCAGATATTCTTTACATTTATGGACTTTGCGACAGAAATAGTGGCGGCTTTCAAATATCCGTGTCTGCAAACACCTATCGAAGGGTCAGTGAGTCAGGAAAAGTACAAGGTAGGCAAATTCACGTAGGAGTACCTTGATCAGCGTTTTTCTAATCGATGGATGGGGAGAGGACACCCCATATAATGGCCTGCCAGAAGCCCAGATCTAACTCCGATAGACTTTTACGTATGGGGTAGGATAAAAGAGTTGGTTTACGCCAGAAAAATATATACAAAGGAGGAATTAATACAGCGCATTACAGATGCCACTATTACACTTAGACAGACATTTTCGGCTAGGGTAACCCGAACTGAAATACGAAGGAGGGCACATGCATGCCTTAGAGAAGGGGGCTTCATTTTGAGCAAGATCTTAAGTAATTAACATAATTTTTTTTCCGTATCAAATACCAAGAATAAGTAAAGTTTTAATTAACACTTAAATTAATCTAATAGGTAAAAACCAAATAAATAAACTCTGACTGATGACGATGTGAACTGCGGCTAGTAATAATTTTGTAATAAAATTGGTACAATCTAACTGCTCAATTTTTGCTGTCTTTATACTGAATCATACTTTACTACAACCTGATTAAGTTATGCAATAAATCGATTTTAATTTGTTTACTCGCAAACGGGAAGTCGTAGAAAAATAGTCAATGAAACTTTTCTCTTAAAAATTGAACAGAAACTTGACAAATAATATTTATTTTTAGAAAAATCAGTGGCGTAACATTTTCCTATTTAAAATTATCTACAGACGTGCCTGTACCCACGCCACTGGAAAAGATAGAAACAACATTTTCATCCCAAAACGTGTATTGTTCTTAGTTGACTAAGCCTGTCAAACTTAAATATAATATTCCAAGCGGTTTCCGAAATATTAATAAATAACATTTTTTCATTAAAATTTCAACACCCTGTAGATCGGAAACTAATAGTTTTAGGAACCTGGTCTATTAACGAAATATATTCAAATTTAGTTGCGCTATTACCCCCTGCTAGGAATACATCTACTTAGCAAACACCCTGTATGCATATGAGTATAAATCTTAAGCTTTTCATATCATTAATGGCTCCAGTATAACTTCAAAAAACGGCTGTTCAATTGAGGCGATTTTCACTTTCCTTGACAATTTCACTTTTATTTTTTCCCAAGAATTGATTAGATATTACAGAGAAGTGGAGCTATTTGCATATCTTTTATTAAAATTTATTTAAAATTGAAAAAACGAAACTTTAAAAGTAATCGCAAACAAGCTGAAACGGTGATATGATCTTTAGTCAATATCTACACAAAACGAGCAAATATTTATAGAAAAGAATCAATAAACATCATTTTACTGAAAGTGCAAAATTATCATTTTCATCAGTTTAGATAATCTCAAAGGTTGCAACTTTAGGTTCTCAATAAACTCCCCAAGTAACTAAGTAAATGTCGATATTGTAATATTTGCTAATAATTTATTACAGAAGTAAAATTGGCCAGAACCAAATGTTACATCTTGTAATATGCTTTGTAAATTAAAAAGAAAAGAAGACAAATAATTGGAAACTCGCAAGAAAAGTTTAAACATTTTTTGGCTTTAGTGTTGGTTCCTTATTAAAAAAATCTTGAAAATGATCTGGATCCGCTTCTGTTTTGACGAAGATGAGTTTAACTTCTCCATTAGCATAATATCACAATTAACAGATCAAGCGCTTAAAAATACAATGCTAAAATTGCATTATGCGTATAAAACAATATTTATCTAGAAGTATTTATCGCATTTATTTTTTTATCGAAAGTGTATAGAACCTTAATAGTCTTCTGCTGTAATTGTCTGCTGGACTACTTTTTACTTATCCTAAGGTTTTCAAAATAGATTTAATCACCTTCAACTGATCAATTTATAAATAAAAAATCACTATAAACAACTTTTGGCAAACATGTCTTAACAAAACACGATGGCAGAAAAAAATTGTTCTTAGTCGCAGAATTGGGGAAGAAAAACTGCTGAAGAAACAATCCTGGACTGAGGATGTCTTTAACAAAGGATTTTAAGGGGACGAACCAAGTACGAAGGTGATGAGTCCTCACTCTGCATAAAGCTCATCTTTTTTGTGCTTACTTGTAACCTGCATCAAAATATTAGAAAATCACGTTAAATCCCTCTAAAGAACATGAGAATGTAGTATCCATTTTTGCAAAGTTTTACGGGTCACCCAACAAATAAAATTACCTAGAATCCGAAATGATTTATAATAGGCAAGTTTAATGAATAATTGCAAGTGAAAAAACTTTCCGAGTTTTTCCGCTAACTTCATGGAAGCCGCTCGTTTTTCCGTATATATTCCAACACGTTTCGTGTTGCGTCCAGTATGGCATCGCGACGCTTGATGAACAGTCGTCGGTTCAGTTGTACAGAAACTTGCTTGCAGAACGCCGGACATCGTCGAGAAGTTTTCCGATTTTCGAGTTTTTTTGTGTAGTATGAGACAACTGAAAATTTTGTGGTCATTTCCGATCAACTTTCTTGACGATTTTGAACTTGCAATACAAACGTAATAGTTGTAATTTTACTCAACTTTTCTTTCATCCGAGTAGCCAACAGACTTAAGGCCAATATGATAAAGTGGTGGTTTAGTTTTGTTGGATTATTTTTAACTGTCGTTGCTCGCCGAGATGATTTTGACCGTATAGGTAAATAATCAACTTTATTAACAGTTAACACGTTTTCTAAGATATTTAAATTTCTCTAGATGTTTTTATTAGAAAGTCTACTTCACTTGAAGACAAATGTTAATAATGCAAATAATAACTTGCAAATCCCATCGCCAGAAAGTTCCACTTTAACACAGTGACTTGGGAACCCTTTATTTTCTATCGCTCTAATGATGAGCTTAGTGAGGTCGAAAGGGCTAAGTACCTAAATTTTCGTAAACACAGCAACAGCACACAGTCAAATAGCTTCTGCTGTCTCATTAGAAGTGGATATTTGTTGAACTCCGCCCAAAAACAGTAAAACTTCTATGAAGTATGCTTTATATTGCTTTTCTGGAAATTTTTCTCAATTTAAACTAATCAAAATTAATTTTTTTATTTCAAAATTTCCCATAAATTCTCCCAGATGCACTATGTAAGTTGGAATACAAATTATATCGAGGCAACTTTCAGACACCAGTTCAAGCGTTATTAGACTGTATGTGAAATGTGTTAAGGGATAACAGCGAAAGGCACTCTAGCATGGCATATAGGAAAACAAACGAAAAATAATGCCTTGGGAGGCTAAAAATTAAATTACCAAGTTTAAACGGGTTACAGGGGTTTTGGGAAAACACGAAAACTATCAAGCATATTGAACGGTTGTCTATTTGAATAGGATCGAAAGAGTAATTTTTAAAACATATACAAAATAGTAAAAAAATGCTCAAAATATTGTTCTTGTTTTTTGTCATGTGTTGTGTTTTGTTATTGTGTACTTCAATACGTTATCTCAGCGCGTTTCCGGAGTGATAATTAATTTGTTCAAAAATATAAGCGTCTCTCAAGCTTGTCACGCAATTGTGGAAGTAAAGATAAAATTGAGGAAAATTTCATATAAAGAAATATTTGCTAAGAAATTTACCGTCTTATTTATTCCCAACTGAACTGACAATTTGCATAAACTCAATATAAACTAATTTTGATTTGTATTGTAGAAAATGTTTAAAGTTGGAAACATCTACTGCTCTTTTGACATTCTAAATGAAAATTTTAACAAACTGCAAGGTGGCTTAAAACCTATTTTCGATAATATTGTAGTTTCGCACTTAGACTGCATGGATTATTTGCAATATTTAAAGCTGGAAATTTTCTAATTCAATCGATTCAAACCGACTTCCGCCTATACGAATTTGAGTGGCGATAAATGATGTTTTATTTAAAAAATGGAAGAAAAGTCGAAATCAATGAACGACTAAAAATTAAAAAAAATTAAAAAAACAATTGTAAAAATATTACGGAATGAACCGCTTCAATACTATTCGTAGTAAAATCTGCTTTAGAATATAAGGACCATTCATAAATTTCATAGATTTTATGAATGATTTTCTCTTCTTTAGTTAAAAAAAGAAACAAAACACATGAAAAAACTCAAGCATGTCGAAATAAATAAACGACCAAAATCACTAAGATGATTTCAAACGATACTACAGTCTAAATTTTGATGAAATGAACGAATATTTAGTTTAAAACGTATTCGTAATATTATCGCTCTGACTGTATACATGTACAGACTATTCACAAGATCTCCAAGTGAAAATTTCGATGCAAACTGATATCCGAATAGTTCTAGATTTTTGGTCATCTACCTAATGCATTATAATTCTGTCAAATGAGATTTCGTCTCAAAAGCGGGGCAAAAGACAAAAAACAGCAGAACGACTAAAATTTGGAAAGCAATTTAAAAAAGAGGACATTTTAAATTTGAACAAGATTAACGACAACTCATTCTTCATGAAATTGTTAAAATGCACGAAACTGATCGAATTGGCAATAAGATCGCACTTAGAATCTACAGACTATGTATTTATATGATTTAAATGAACAGGAACAAAAGACTTAAAAACTCAAGAATGTAAGCGAATATCCCAATTACAGACCTTAAGAGATAAATTTGCGCATTTTTCTTAATTTTATTCGAACAAAACTAACAATTCTTTCTAACGTTGTTAAAACTAATCTGACGAAAGTAGAAGCGAGTTTGCAAATTAATGAAACTATTCAAGTATCAATCGTTGTCATTACTCTCGGACCGCTTGAAGTCTTTGGAAAAATCGTTTGATTAATCTACTATATCTGAATGGCGTTGTTTGAATAAAAGCTATAAATTCCTTCAAGCGACATTCTAGATGAATTTTGTCCAAATTTACTTCATTTTAGCTTTAAAGCCAGCTTTAAAACTATACAATATTCTCGGAAAATTACCCGAAATGTAATAACAGAACTCCAACTAGGTCTCCATCTCTAACCATCTGTAGCATTTCACGGCTCGTCTAGTTGTTCAGCCATATTTCCAAAACTTTATCTATAAATCCCGATATTGTAAAACTTTCGCGCTAAACTCCGTTTCTTAATAACGACAAAGTTGAACATATTCCAACTTTACACTGGTTTATTAATTTTTAATTTGTCCACCCTAGTGAAATATGCTTGATTTATGTCAATTTATGTGTTAGCTGCAAATTCTACGTGACTTATTAATAATATTTAGAAAATAATTTTACAAGTCAATTGGTTTAGTACTGACTCTAAAACATGCTTATTAAATTGACGAAACTGTTTTTGTGAAAATTGTAAATAATGCAACAAACGTTCAAAACATGTTAATGACTGTAAATTTCCGCACTACCGAACAGGAGAAACATAATACATTTTATCTACAACTGTTATTTAATTACTATGATTTGGCAGTCTTTCAAATGGCATATTGATGTTTATTACGGCACTTTTGCTTTCTTCAATTTATTACATCACAAGTGCGGTTAAAAATATCTCGATCACTGTCAAAGTTATGTCTTAAAATTGCACATTATAAAAAAGTTCAAGCGATGATCTGCCATGTGTTATTGAGAACGAAGCTTTTAATGTTGTTTCGGATCTTGTGACAGATAAATCACGAAACAAATAAATACCAAAAAGCTTTGATCAATACCAGAAATTGTGCAGTGGACGAAAGATACACACACAAACAACATCGAGAACCAAAGGGATGAGGATTTATCTCTTTTGCTTACTTTGTTAAAATATACTAATAATCCTTTCTCACCTGTTAAGTTGAGTATCTTTCGTCCACTGCACCATTTCTAATAGCGAACAAAGACTTCGTTCTTAATATCACATGGCAGATCATTATAAAATATGTAACTTTTTATTCGAATTAATCTAAAAGTGCCATTTTTCGATCAGAAGCGATGATCAAAAAGAAGCACTTTTCTTTACTGTTTATTTGTTTTACTTTCACGCACATGTGCCCAAAAGTAAAGCTGACAAATTGAACGTGCCACTGTCATAACATACTTTGAAGTATTTTCATTAAAAAGTAAAGGACAGGCTTTTTTAATGAATGGTTTATAGACAACTGTTGATCATAATTTAAAGTTTACTTACAATTTGTAAATTATGAATTTGTGGCAAGTTTAGTTTCAAAGTCGTTCAAATGGTCTATTTTTTTGCGCTCGCTGATTTGCCACAAGAAAAAAAGTTTTTTTTAAAGATCGCAAATTTTATGCAAAGTATGCATTTTATACAAACACCATACCATGAAAGCAGCACTTGAATTTTCATCACTCATTGCTTCACTAGCATATGCTTACAAAAGTGCGCTTTTGAAAAATTACAAACGTCAAAACATGACAATTTCAAAAATGGCATTGACATCAAATTCTAAATATGAAGTTGACGGCTTTTATTTTTGGCTATTTTTATTTGTTATAACTTATTATTCGTGTTATGACCTTTATTAGAATAAAAAATATTGTTCGATACGAGGGCGAAAGTTTTTTTTTTACTTCGTCTGGGCTCTCAAACGCCGTCGTCGCTCGAAAAACCACACTTTTCGCCCTTACATCGAAAACTACTATTAAAACACAACTTTGACAATGATTCTGATGACAATGACAAATTTTCATTACTTGTGCTTTGTATACAATTTTAAAACTAATTATTTTCACTCAAATAATCATTAAAATAATAATCGTTGTAGTTGTAGATAAAATATTGTACGTAACACGTAAGATATATTATTAACGCACCTATGCGATTAGACGACTCTGCCTAAAGCCTCGTCGAGCAAATCTTCACATGCGTGCGTTAATAATATTCATATCCTACTGGTTACGTAAATAACTATTACCGCTTACTGTTTTGTAATTAAAGCATTTTTATTGGCTAAAGTCACTAAATATCTGAATCGACTTATCAAAGTAAATACATTAAAGGTGGTATTCTCTATCTGTAAAAGAGAAAATAATTTAATTATATAATAATTCAGAGACATATCTGTATTTTCAGGGAAAGGTTCACATTCTGTAACTGTCTAAGGTTCTGGCACAAAGCATTTAAAAAATACCGCAATTTTAAAAAATATCTCCTACAATTAAGTCTGCTTAAAATACTGCACACTATTAACAAGCATAAGTTGTTTCTTGCTGGTTAAATGAGACATTGTTGCATGTGTTTTTTCCCATTATAATAAAATTTCGCACATTCTAATCACAGAAATAACATATTTTATATAAAGTTTTTAAAATATTTCCAATAATAACCCAAATCATAAATATCAGTCGATCAGCAGAAAAATTAAAGAACCATATAATATTTTTATTAGATATGTCCAAATCTGAAACACCTAGAACTACTTTTCGGTGTTTTTTTATGCTCATAGCGTAAGTAACATATATATTTCACTTTTTTCAGGGTATTTTTGGCAAATCACCGACATTCACTATGATCCACAAGTCACTCTCCATGGAGATTATAAAAAAGGTAATTAAGGTTTGTCTGCTTTCATGTCTCACCATAACTTCATTATTTTCCACAATAATTATCAATAATCGTTTTGTCCAAATTTTTGTTTGCAAAGCTTTAAAAAGGTGAGATAGCAATATATCATTAATTGTCATGCTTCTAAAGTGCTTAATATTTTTTTATTTCGTGTCGACCAAATATCCATTTGGGATCAATTTATATTGATTTTATCATTCAAGCTATTATAACAACTAACGCAGAATTCACATTAATATCTTTACTGCATAAGGCCAATCATCTCTACTCGCCATTGTTAGAATTTGTAACTCCATTAAAATATATCGAAAACATTTCCCAAGGGCTAAATATATAACCGATTCGGTCTAATCGTCACTAAATCTTGAACAATGTTTGATTTTGGTTAGGCTCGATTTGGTTGGTAATTAAGTTATCATTAATTCCCTTTCAACCTTTACCAAAACTTTCGCTGCTGGCAGTTATCTTAATAAAACATATTTCACATTTTGGAAACTTTGAATAGATTTTAGAAGTCGAATTAAGGATTAATAATTATCAATATAATTTGCTTCCTTATCAGATGGTATACTTAAGTCGTTCATTAAAATATGGGTTATCACATTTCCACCTCTTTACATCTATATAACTTCCTAATGTATTTTCGGGTTGAATTTGTTTGCGTCTAATAAAGAAAGTTCTCTAATTTATTTAACATTGTCATCATCATGTTCAAGATTAGATGAAGATGTCACTATAATTGAGAACATTACTGGTTATTTCTCTACTGATACTCTAATTCTAGCAAATTGTTCGCCAACTTTTGCGATAACAATCGCTAAACATTTTGGAGCTTCAGTCAATCTCGTTTTTGAAATATGAGTTTTAACCGAATTTAGGTTTGTCTTCAGCGCTCCGCCTTATCTTCTTTGTGGAAAACTTTGAATACGAAAAGTAATTCAGCAACAATAAAATACGAAGTTTGGACGATTCTCCTAGTAAGGTTATTGCCCGATTTTATGTACCCGACATCCGGTAACGCTTCATCGTTAGAGCTTACCGTAAATTTAGTGGGGCTGTTATTAGACGGCTCTATCCTTCTCAGTTTATATTGTGGCTCTAACTATAACTAGTTAATAGCTCTTAATAAGTGCTTTACGATTAATTTGCTGTACTCAATCAGGTTAGAGTCGAATGTATTTATTATGGTAATTTGCTTTTGATGGGACTGAAATCTACGACTGGCAGAATATTTCAAAAATGTTTTTGTCTGAAAAGGCTGTTGTTTTCTGTCGCCGTATTAATAATACACTTCAACATTTAATTCGTCCGTAATTTTCGGAAGTCGGAGTCTTAAATATAATACGCTACTTGGACACGTCATTAATGAATGTTTATAATTGAAAATCAACCCCTGGATACTGAAAATTTCATCATGCAATAATTACGGAGGAACCGGACTTTGTTCTCTGATAATTGGTGATAATAATCCAATTTTGTTCCCCCGCTCGTAAACATCGTGCCCCCCAGTGAACTTAATTAAACGTTATTTGGGACCTTTTCTAATTGTCTTAATAAAAATACTGTAATACTAAAATACTAAAATTTTAGGACTTCGACCATTAGCACTTCATTACTTTCAAGATTGAGACTTGAACGTCGCACAGCAATGTGTTACTCAATTTAATTGCGAAGACGAAATGTTTTCGCGAAGACGAAAAATTCAATTATATGAATGATTTCTAAATTAACCAACTTCAGCAGGAGTAGCCGATTGGTGGATATTAGAACTCCAGTTCTCAGCAAAACATATTGAAAGCCCAGCAACAAACTTTACAGGATCAAAATCGAAAACTAGAGGTCTAGTTCATTTCCTGTACGAACAACTGATTGTTCTGCAGCTTGGGCAATTCGCGAGTAAATCAACAATTTTGCGTTACTGTTTGTATATGTTAATAAAATGATTAAAATTGTGCCTCTGTTCTTATTTGTGTTAGAGCTGCAAAGGAATCATTCACTTTTTATCGCAATTATTACACCTAGCATTGGACAGCCAATCAATTTCACATGGAAATATTAAAATTTTTGAACGCCAAACTATCAACTCGCATTAAATCGAATACAATTAAAGTGAATTTCAGTTTCGATTTAGCGTATTAATTCAAATTAGGCAGAGTGCATCCAGCTGGCAAAGTGATTCTTTTTAAATATCTGCCATTTTAAAAACAAAGCGCCTATTTAGTCCGAAATGACCGACGAAATTTACGTTAAATTAGAGAATTTATTTTGTGGAACTTAAAATTTTAATTTGTTTGACAGTGCTTAAACGCTTCCTTTTATCAATTAGAGAGTGCGTTTCCAGCGGGAAAACATAATGCTTTGTATTTTTTCAGTAGAATAAACGTGTCGGAAATGTTTATATTGATTGCTCCCCATTTGGAAAAAAATCCTACCGTGTGGAGCTAGCAATAAATTTACTCTACGCAAAAGACTTGGACATTTAGGGGATGAAATTATCAAATCAATCACCTATCTTCGAACGCGTTTAGGAGTAACAGGGGATTAGAATAAATATTCCCTGCAAAGTTTGGTTAAACCCTAAACTCTAATCAAACATTTGGAGATAATTGGATCTACCAACTAAGCTCGTGTTGCGTTGATCTACCAACTAAGGACGTGTAATCTCAAACAGAGGATGTTTATCAAGTGAAGGCCGAAGAAACGCCTCATTCTTACGAGCTGAAACCTCTATCATCGATTTTAATAGGCCAAGGCTTGCAGAGTCTGACCAAGATAAGCTGGGTGGAGCTTGCTGGGTCTGGAGAAAATGAGTGGAAAAACATATATCTAAAAAAGAATACTCAATAGAAATAGGATAGCAATTAAAATGTAGGACAAATTGGTGATTTTTTAAAAATTTCCTTGCAATGAAAAAGTATACGGGATGTCAATTTGAAAACTTCCCACCATTAATATCTTTTTCGCAGTTAAAAATATGAAAAATCGGAAAGACTCGTAAATTTTATTTGTAAGGGGGACACTTTGAATTAATATTTTTATCCCCTTTGTTTCAACCTTCTAGGAGAGGTAGATGCCTACCTTGAAATCTTAAATAAAAAGGGGGGTCAAATGCCTCATCAATTTAAAGGTAGTTCAATTATTTTTATATTGGTTACTACTTTGTTGCTTTTTGTCCAGAGGTTTTCGAATAATCGCACTTCAAAGTTGTAGAAGCAATTAAACTTGCTCGCATTTCAATCTTGGTTTTCTTTCCTGTTAGTGCCTACACAAAAACGAATGTATTGGGTCCCCATTGTCTGGGTGGTATTGTAATACAGATGATTAGAAGAGTAGGTTACACTGTTCTTCACAAAATCGTGGAATAACAGGAAGAAAATGTAGTTTAAACTTTAAACACTGATTTATTATTTTCGATTTTGGTCTTATTTCTTATTTATTGATTATTTGACATCGACAAACATAACCTTTTAATTTGCGGAAGATACATTTCATTATGAGACCTACTTAGGTACTATATTACAAGTTGTTCAAAGGTTGTAATTTTCCTGTAAACAAGTCTGTTTTTTGAACTATTCCTTCACGTTTCAGAAAATTTCACCGGGAATTAACCGGCATTCTTCTACAATTGAACTTTTAAGATCATTAATATCAGCAGCTTATGTTTTATAAGCAATGGCCGTAAAATCTCTCCAAAAAAAGTCAATCTAATCATGGGTCCCATCCCTTGGTGATCTTGGAGGCCATTTAATTGGCTCCCTACTGCCAATAGATCTTTCCAGGAATATCTTATCAATTTTAAGGAGATTTCGAAAATATACTTTATTATTTTTTACAGGAAAATGAACAACATTTTGAACAACTTATAAGATACTGCGTAAGTAGATCCCATAGGTTTTATTGTATACATTTCTCTTCCGTAAATAAAAGAGTTATTTTTCACGAACTGAAACAATCAGTAAATCTGAAATTAATTGTTTAAACTAGATTTTCTTCCCGTCAAGGATTTTAACGGTGAATCAGCCAATGATATAATTTTTGTTTAAACACTAATCTGGAAGCAAAATCTCAATGCAGCCAAGTTTAATTGTTTCTGTAGCTTTTAAATGCGCTTATTCGAAAACCCCTGGACAAAAAGCAACAAAGTAGCAACTAATGTAAAGAGAATTGAGCGCCATTTAAAATGATGTGCAACTTGACTGCCTTTCCGATTTAATATTATCATGTACCTCCTTAACGGGTTGAAACAAGGAGACTAAAAATATTCATTTAAAGAGTCCCACATACAAATGAAATTGACGGGTATTTTCGATTTTTCATATTTTTAACTGCAAGAAAGATATTAAGGGTGGGAAGTTTTCAAATTGACACCCGGTATAACTTTGATTGATTTCGAAATTTTTACCTTACATAGTCGGATGAAATGAGGCAAAGCTTGAATTTTGCTAACATACATGATTAGAGATTGAAAGCTAAATAATTGCATACCTGATTGAAAGAAGCAGTCGATTCACTATTTTTCGCTTCAGGAAAGACGATGAATCGCAAACATTATTTTGAATATACATTTTTACGACAAGCTATAGAAACCAATGTTAATACAATACTGGAGCACAACGTGTTATTGAACCAGACGGACTTCAAGTTTAATTTTTTATTTTGCGAAAGGTATTAAGACGCAGTATGAATAACTGTTTTCTTCATTTTCATATCTTCTGATCATCATCATCATTATCTGCTATTGGTCCATCGTCGGACATACCCTTTCCCCAATCGTTGCCACTCCTCTCGGTCTTGTGCACGTTTCATCCAGCTATTTCCAATTAGTCTCCTGACATCGTCTGTCGATCTGCTCTGGGGCCGTCCTCTGTTTTTCTTAGTAGTCCACGGTCTCCAGCCTAATACTCAACTTGTCCAAAAAGACTCCTCCATTCTAGCTATATGGCCTATTCAACTCAATTCCGCAATTTACATAAGCGTTCCACGACGTCCGTCACTTTAGATCTGCGCCCAATATCTTCGTTGTTTATTCGGTCTTGGAGAGTTACACCTATCATTCTCCTTGGCATTGCTCGTTGTGCAGTTTGTAATATATGAATAATCTCTTTGCGTGCATATCCGCGGGTGACCTGAGTAGCTCGCGGATGACGTTGCCGGTCCCAAGCCCGAATAAAAGAGGATAGTTCCTCGGCCAGGTTAGCACCCTACCTAAGGTAAAAGATACTGAAGGCTCGGAGAACCCCAACCATGCTTCGGATTAGGACCGATCACAAGATGACGACCCACGCAAAACATAGGTTAAGAAAAAACGCATTATCGATTCGGATCCTGGAATGTAAAAACATTCAATAGCAAAGATCAAGAAATACTGAGTGAGTTGAAAGAGAATAACATCTATATTTGTGCCCTAGAAGAAACTAACATGAAGGGTAAAGAACAAACACAGTATGAAGACTACACTATAATCCGCAGTGGTGTAGAAAAACATGAAAGGGCAAAATAGGGTGTAATAGCGTTTCATAACAAACACCAAAAAACCATCCAAGAATGCCGCTACATATCATCATGGATATTGACAGTTAAAGTCATCGCAAAAGACCAAGAGCTGACAACAACATCGATCTATGCGCCGGAAGATAGAACACCTTAAAGTGTATCAGATTACTTATTTAATCAACTGCACGATGTCATTGAAGCTGTTCCACACAACCAACCAACAATAATTCTCGGCGAATTAAAAGCCCGCATAGGAGATGAAGATGAAGTAATTCCCGGTATAAAGCAGAGGTTTAACGAACATACACTAAATAATAACGGGTAACTCATGTTTAATTTTTGCTCACTCAACGAATTGCACCAATTACCAATACTGTCTTCGACCATAAATACCAATGCAATTACACGTTCTACAAAACAAGAGGTCAGACATCAACAATTGTAGCTAAACAAGTATTGAATATTAGAACGTGAGATGAATGAAATATAGAACGCAGGATGTGACTCCAAAAAGGGACAAAAGCACAACAACTAAGGTAGAAAAAATTAATATTGAATTACTTTGGGACCCACCTACAAAATATCTGTATCAAAGAAGAATTGAAAAAAAATCAATACAAACCCCATACAAGAAACGGAAGACGTAAATATTAGCTGGGATAAATTAAAGAAGAATTTCCAAGAATCTGCTAGGGAAGCTTTCGGTACCCGAATCAAATGAAATTCCAAAAAATTAAATAAGACCCCATGGGTCTCTCAAGAAATAAAAAAAAAACAAATGAAAGAAAAAGAAATTTGCCTACCTAAAATACCACCCACAGAACAGAAGAGTCAGAGAGTTATGAACAATACAAACAGAGCCGAAGCGAGACAGCAGCACTGGTTAGACAAACAGAAGAGGAACACTGGGAAAGGTTTGCGAAACGAATAGAGACTGATTTCTACGGCCTACAGAAGCAAATGTGGCAGTTCCTCAGGAACCAACGAAATGAAATCAAGGAACTAAACAAATCAAGCCCAATAAAAAGGAGACTTGGACCAATTATCTCACGGATCTGTACAAAAAGGAACAACACATAAGTGAACTGAACACGCCAAAGATAACAACAAACGAAGTAAAGCAAATAGCAAAAAGAAAAAAAACCTGAAATTTGCCGTTTAAAAATTAAAAAACAGGAAAAGCCCGAGCATGGACGACATAACAAATGAACTATTCAAGTATGGTAGACCGAAACTCATTCAACAACTAGCAATTTTTATCCGCAAGATTATTTTCGTTTATCAAATCCCGGATGAATTGCGATCGAGCATCACAATCCTTATGTCGAAACAATGGGATAAGAAAATCCCATAAAATTACAGAAGCATAAATCTATTGAACACCGCCTTAAAACTAACAACAAAAATAATAACGAACATAATCAATGGCATGATTACTCGTTCAGATGAACAAGGATTCAGAACAGGAAGATTGTGTAACGACGCAGTCTTTGTCATGAGACAGATAATAGAAAAATCGATCAAATATAACAAACCTGCATATCTATTTTTATAGATCTTGAAAAGGCATTCGATTGCGTCCAATTGAAATATATTGTACACCTCCTTTATTGTATATACTTTCCTGACTGTGTTTCAATTCCAAATCAAATTCATTCCTGGGTTTCAGTCATTTATTGTCTCTACTTATCAATCAAAATACGTTTCGGTGTATTTTTTCACCATCATGAGTTTTTCTAAAATAACAGATACGTCGAGCGCTCTCGCTCTATCCAGTTGCAGCAGTTTCTGTAACCATTTATCAACGGAAAATATCTTGTATGTAGTTGTGTGTTGCCTTGATGATTGTGTATCACTTTTCGATTATAAGAATCACTGTTCAGTTCTACAAGAACCAGCGAAAATTTGTTTAATTGCTGCGATGTTATAATTTAGCAGTCTATAAATATTTAGTTTTCTGACATTCTGTAATAAATCATAAAAAAGGGATTTCTCTGAAGAAACTTAGCTCTAGCTCTTTCTTTCTACTAGCTTAGTTATATGCCCATTGCCAGCAAACTAAGCAAAATGTGCACTAGCATATGAGCTATGAGCAAACTAAGAGTCTAAGACATAAATTTTATCACATTTGAAATGTAAAAGGACAATCGCTTTAGGCAGAATGTGGATCTGCATTTAAGCAAGCTGGTCATTTTTAAATATAAATTGAGTCAGAGATGAAATGAAAGTTATTTGAATAGTAATAACCGTTCTAAGGTCGACATATTTTTTTTAAATTATTTTTTGGTTATACCAAAATTAACTTATTACTATAATAGCGAGAGATAAATCTGCATTTAAATACCTTTGATAATTCCATTCTTTCACTTAAGTAGATATATGAGTCTGTTGATTCTAGCTTTGTGTTATTGATTTCGATATTTATATTCTGCGTGCTATTTTCGTTTGTCATATATTTAGATTTTTCGGTGTTTAATATTTACGTCCCCTGAATTCTGATTTAGCTCTGTTATCATTTCCTGCATATTCTGCTGATTTTGTGCAAACAGAACGATATCGTCCTCGAAACGAAGGTGCCTCAAGTATTTTCCATTTATCTGAATCCCTTTGTGTGTCCCAATAAATTTTCTAAAATATATCTTCTAATGCAAGCGTAAACAATTTTGATGAGATGGATTCGTCCTGTCTGACTCCTCTTCCGAGTTTCATTTTGCTTGCACAGTCTTTGAATGCCACTCGAAAAGTTGCTTCTGATCATACCAACATATAATTACGGAAGTCAATGATTGGAAGAAAACTTCTCCACAATTTCATATAGTAGTTTTCTAATTATATGTTTTCTAGCTACATTTTAATCTTAAATAATCTGCAATCGAGATACATGGTAAGGAACAATATTGTTCAAACTAGAGGATCAAATATTACTGCAAGTAATTTTTAACTGTTCAATCCAAATCCGATTAAACGAACCTAAGAGATCAGACAGGGAAAAGCCATTTTTAAGTAAATAAATGAAGTAGACTGAGGGGCCGCGCATTAGACGGGTAGCAGGTATTTTCGATTGCCTTTCCCCTTTTCACTTAATCTGGACAAATTACTCTCAAGCGGTTCGTTCGGTCGTTAACAACTCCATTTTAAGCTATTGCTCCTCTCCAAAAACTAAATAGAGTTTTCTCTCAATTATCCGAGAAGCTTCAGTAGTCCTCAGCCTGTTATTTTTCAAATGGTAGAATGAAGCACTTTTAAGTGAATCAATAATATTCTGGCGGACGAACTGAAAAGCTGCAGGTGGAGAGAAGAGTGGCCTTTTTCAGTTGTGGAATTATCAAACAGATTTTATGCATATTGAATTCGAATAGTCCAACAGCCACACATAAGCCATTAGTTGTCAAATCCAATTATCTTCGAAGGACTCAAGTGTTCAGTGAAGGATTGAAGTGTGCAAATAGCCCAGCAGCGTAATCCTTGTTGGACGTGAACAGACCGCATTTTAATCCATTTAAGGATCAAAGACCATTATCTTGCCAATAATCGTTGCTTTCCAATTCAGGACAGATCCACCGGTCCTGATTACGAGGATGAGATGGCGTTTAGATAAAACGAGGGATTAATAAAAGTAAATGTGAAATTGGATCCTGGCTTTTTAAGTTAATTCGCTTACGAGAATCAGTTCAGAAATCACGTGCCAGAAGTGGTTTTTTCGCATAGGGTTTTGAATCTCTATTGGGTTGGATCATTATTGAAAATGCCAAAAGGAAAGGTTAAGAGCATTACTGTAGTCTCAAGTGGTTATCTTAAATGGAGCATGTCTGTATATGGTTATTTCACGTTTTTTCGGAATATTGAAAATTGTTGTCTGCCTTAAGGAAGTCGACCAATGAGGAATAAATACATAGGTTTTTTGATATTTCAGGTTGTGTCAGGCACGAGAACATGGAGGGAAGCTCATCCAGTCGAAATGGCAACAAGGGTCCAAGAAGACTGAACTCTCCAAATGAAAATCTGGGCACGTATGGGGAATATCATTGCGACTCCACTTGGGAACTGATTGAATCTGCAGCAAAATTTATGAAGTCGAAACAAAGTGACAATATCGAGTTCGTCTTGTGGACAGGGTGAGTGATGATAACAAAAATAAATCAAGTTTTGTGATGGTTGCTTTTTGCCTCCTAACTATACATTTTAAGCATGCATCTTTTACCACTTTCGTCACTTTATTACATTTATTACATTTGGTGTTCATGTGTCAAAATCTTATCTTCCTGCTTTTGGGTATTGAAAAATTAAAAGTTCTCGAGTCCGTTTACTTTGCTAAACAAGCGCTTCGATGTGATGTCCGTTTCGAAGTTACGTTTACATTATCTCTGGGGATCTTACAATGTCTCTTATCATACTCTCATCTTGCTCTCGTTATACAAATGTTTGTTTGTCAATAGAAAATATTTCAGACAACCTGAACACGGCTTTTGATTCTCGTTTCTCTGTGCCATTCGTTATGTTCCCTTGATTCGTAAACAGTCAAACAGACATTTTGTTTTCCAGTCCGCATAATTCAAGTAAAACATCGATTGTTGGCCGATTTCCATAGCCGACATACCGGCAGACTCAAAAAAGTAGGAAATTCACTGACGATATGGATTTCCACCAGAAACCCATCTGTAATTGAAAGATTGGTTCGATAAAAGCACAAAAAGTTTCCCGACATAATAGAAGGACCGTGTTATGACTTATGCCCCACGAGGGGGAACCAAATGCATACATTTTATTTTAGCAAATTAGTCCGAGCTCGTTCGTAATACAATGTTGCCTTCGGGAGGCCAGTCTCTCGATTTATTCGCAAACTTTTGCCCATAAAGCCTAGCTAAGTGAAAAACCAGGTCCTGTTGCGACAATAGATGAATGCATCTGGCTGTTTGTTCATGTTATTAAAATAGATGATTTCAAAATAAAAAGAATGGGAATATCTGATGGAATAAACAATGCGGCATTTTAGCTTGAAACGGCAGCAAATATACTGGGATGATACAATATTGGGTCTTTTGAAGGCCAATTACGTTTTTTTCTATATAACCAATATTTTAAAGATTTTGCAGAAGCAAGTTTGCTTCGATTGTTCCATGGTCTTCTTCTTGACGATTGACGACTCAGATTAAATGCGATGGCTTTTTCTTCCGTTTCTCAGAGAATATTATACTATTTTCGTGAAGCGACAAAAAATATGAATTAAAATCATATGACCAGAGTAAAAGATTCAATATTCATTCTAAGCATTAAAACTTCCCAACGATAACTTCTAATTAACTTCCAAAAGGGTGCAAATTTGTTTTTATTCGTTTGATAGGAAAATAAGATTTTGTAGCTATTTGCACTGAGTAACGTTCTACTTTTACTGCATAGGCGGTAAAATGAGCAATTTCCTGTCTAGACAGAAAAAGTGTTCATTTATATGCAAACAAGGAACAGCGACGTAAGTAATGTCATCACATTAATCTTTAGATTATTCAGTTTTATAATTAACAGCAGAATTGTATCATCTTTGATGTATTCTCCGAGGATTTTGTACCATTAATTCTCTAATTTCTAAAAAAGCAACTTTTTCGTGTTCACAATCACGATCTATTTTTGATTAGTTTTACTTTTACTACCAAGTTTTTGATAACTTTTGGCTTCAATACACTGACTTCACATTTAAACTATATTTTTATTCTAGATGAAAGATGCATTATTATCAAAAGAGCAATCAACAAAACCAAAACTGAAAACATTCAAATTACCCACTGACCTGATACATGTTTTGTGTATAAAATACAAAATTATTTTAAACAGGATTTGGATAATTTTTTTGGAGTATCACTCACTTTAGAGGTGCTATTAGAAGCATGTGAAACACGAACAAACTCCAAGATCGGTTTCAAATTTTATTTCTCACATAATGAGATTCAACCACTTGCTATTTTATTTTAGCATGTTTTGTTTGAGTTTTAATTTAATAAAAAAATAATTAAACATCAAATATTTAAAAAAGTGAATCCATGTAACTTGTGAATGTTGAAAAATCATATTTTATCATATACGTAGCTCATAAAGCCTAAAATCTACTGTTTAAACTCAAAACCGCAAAACAATCTAGAAATATTGTTTCCATTCAGCGATCGATCGAAATCAGCCTAAACCGGAAGCTTTCCAAAGAGAAACACACTGACGTTCGATGTTAGGTAAAAAATGATTTTTATTTGAATGTTGGAAAGTATAAATTCTCACACCTCAAAAGCTAAATATTTGATGGCGTGAGATGCAGGAAAATATAAATATTTGAAAGGTAATGCACGAAGCGGCACGAAATCACCAGGCATATACGGAAATTGATAAAATATAGATAAAATAATGGAAGTGGAAAATGTTTGGGCAATACGTCTTTTGCGAACGTTCTCTTAAAGATATTTGCCCTCGACTGTGAGGGCAACAAAATACCAGTGTGAATTTCGGAGTTCTTATGCATATTCTGTGTTGCCGGTGGAGCTAAGAATAAGTCAGTCGGGAAAAAGAAATAAAGTGACCACAGGGAAATGGAAAATTTAGAAGCAACCTTTACGGCTCCAGTCTACAATGTTACTGGAATATTTAACACTTTAGGTTCGTGATCTTAACATTTACTTTCCTTAAAACGGTCTGGTTTTGCTGAAGCAATAACAAAGAAAACTCGCTGATAACCGACTTCATTAGCTCAAAATCAATTAGCTCTCTTTAACTCATGAACTTCTTAAACATTATCTCTGCATTTTTGTTGTTGCTTTCCATATGAATGTCTATTAACTGTTACAGCCCGAGGCAACTTTCCTTCGCATAAAAATACGCGATAAAAATAAACCATCGCCGCCTGTACGTAACTTCTGCTTTATTAACTAAGCAGTTTGCAAAATTACTCAAGAATGGAACATCTTAAAACCCCATGTGCAGCCAGCGTTTGCTTTAACAAGCTACTGTTTACTTATATCTAACAACATGGAACATTAATCTTGAGTCCAAACGATTGCAAGCAATTTTCTACTCTGGTCGTTTTATGCATTTTATATTTTACATTATGCAGTAAATCTGTTTTGTCATTTGGAATAAAATTCTATACAAATGGCCGGACGTTTATTTCGAAACGCTGGTCATCTAAGATTTCCGGGAAATTAGATTTGAAATTCTTATATGCAATCACGGTATGGTGAAGATGTGTTTTCCCGATGGCATTTTAATGTGGCACATCTGGAATGTTTTGCGGAAAAATTAATTTTTGAGAAAATCTATTTTTCTCAACTCTTGGGATTTGTGAAATTTGTTTGTGAAATAAAACGCGGATTCTTACAGGGATGACTTAAAAATGGGGTCACAATGAATGGAAAACATGTGGAGAATTAATGGGAAAAATCGTTGAAACGTATCGCAAGGAGCGTTAATGTGATGACAAACTTCATTTCCTTTCAGCGCTTTTCAGATTAAAGTCCTAATGTTAGTTTATCGTCAGACAAAATTTACAAATTTCCTCACCTCACTTTTAATATACTTTAAATTCCTGTTTGTCTGGGTGTTTATCCACCCAGATTTTATTATTTATTTATATATAAAATTTATCAAATAAAAGTTTGTCTCGGCAGAAATATCTCCTGCAAATTCCTTTAAAAGCCAGTTTCATTAACAAAATTATCAGTTTTTATTTTATGTTGCTTAGACGATTACCAAATCAAAACCTAGAAAAACTAACTTAATTAATTTAAACCCACAAAATAAGTCGAGAGAATGGAAACTCCAGTAAAGCCTGACGAATGACTTGCCTTAGTTATTATTATCATGTCATCGTGCTACAAATAAAAATGTAATAAAACTTTCTAATATTGATAAACAATTACTGTGAAGCCTTTTATGCATGAACTTTCTTCACTAGGACAGACAAATATTTTGTTGGAAATCCTGCCGACTTACCCGGCTAGAAAATTATCAGACCGACGAAACTTTTGAACAACATAAAACATTAGGGATACGCTCTTTATACAGGATTCGCAGTGGGTTTTTATCGCAAACTCGTCCTATGTTGCCAAAGTTTTTGCTTAACTCTATTTTATTGACTCAAGTTTGGAAATAAATTCAAGAGGAAAGGTCGGCCCCACAAAAACTGTCCCCTATGGAACGTCCACAGCTATTAAGTATGTCACATAAGGGTCATTGTTGCGATTGTTAAATCTAATCGGATGGTTCGTTACCAGTGATCTGTTGTTGATGTTTGTCTAGTTTATGTCTGAATAAGTTTTTTGTATGGGCAGTGGAAAGTATCCATTCAATATAAGCAGACAATGATCCGATGGAGAATCTGCAACGTTGAGAACTTATTACAAAGTATTTTCAATAAATTTCCAGGAACAACGCAATTTTAATGCAGTAAATGCTTCGGCCCGCAATTCGATGAACGGGGTTGGCCTCTATTGAGGTTCTGTACCTCGCTTAATTAATCATAAGCCTACTCTAATAAAAGTCAATATAAACCACACATGATGATAAATAAATTAAGAGAAGGTTTAACAAATCAATAAGCAGCTGAATCTGTAATGGATAAAATATACCTTAAGAGTCCAAGTATAAAAGCTTCAGTAAAATAAAATTATTATACTATTCAACTGTAAAGCGTCAGAAATTGAAATTAATTTGAAGAAAAAGGGCTAACCAAGAGTCAGTTGCAATTAGAATTATTCAAATTTTTTAATTTGTTGTTGATCGATTAATTCAAAAGTTAAATAAGTTATATTATAAATATCCGAATTATTTCAAGAAAATAATACATTTATTTTTTGGCAAAAGATTGTAATGTTTCTTCTGGAAGCACAATAATTATCAACCGTTTTTTCGCCTAAAGACAGGCATTTAGTGCAGCGAGTTTTTCTTAAAAAATCAGTAAAATCAGTTCTCCATTGAACCCCGAAAAAATGGCCACACGCTGCGACCCTGAAATATTATATATAAATACACATGTTTGTTTCTGGTTTATGTATTATTTCAAGTGCAGAAGTTAACATACATTTTCACCAAAGAACAGGAAACAAAAATGTAAAAATTCATGCAACTGTAAAGAAATATTTAC